GCAAGAGTGTGCTTAATCCAATATTAGTTCGTGAAACCGTGGTGTCCTGGATGGCTGTTGGTGAGCTGCTGGGAGTGCCTGAGAAAATGCCTGGAATCGAGAACGAGAAAGAGCGTCAGCGGCGGTGTTGTGAATACCCGGGATGTGAGAACATACTAAGTGAAACTGATTGGATGCTGCCAGCCAGGTCAACTTGCGAATCAGCCGCATGATGGTCAGGGATGATGAGCGCCCTTTGTTAATAATATCGCAAGCTGCCGAGTTATCTGAGTAGCATTTTACTGCCTTGCCGGACCAGAGATGACCCCAGGTGTGTGCGGCCGCCACAATGGGGTAAATTTCAAATAGGGTTGAGGTCTCCCTGAATCCTGGCAAGGCATCCGTCTCAGTGGGCCAGTGGCCCCTAAACCAGTGGTTCCCGAAAATGGCTGCGAAACCGGTGTTGGCTGCTGCGTCCGTGTGGATGATGGGTGAAGAGGTGGAGAGAGGGGGGATAAACATGGAGATACCATTCCAGTCTTTCAAAAACTTCCCCCACATAGCCAAGTCAGCCTTGGCGTGGGGGTCCAAAGAAACTGTGCCGGAGTCCGGGACTCCATGGAGCAGGCAAAGAAGTCTGGAAATAAAAGACCTTCCCTGCGGAATGATGCGCATGGCGAAGTTCAGAGATCCAAGAAGGGACTGAAGTTCTCTCCTGGTGCAAACGTCATTCCGCAGGAACGTGTCTATCTCCCCTCTCAATCGTGAAAGTTTGTCGTGTGGAAGGCTAGCTCTGAGTTTGACAGAATCGAGCTCTATGCCTAAAAAGGTCAACTTTGTAGTGGGTCCTATAGTTTTGGCTGGGGACAAAGGGACTCCAAGTGTGGAAAAAAGTGCGGTAGTACTATTGATTGCTGTGGGTGTTGATGACCCTGGCTCTATCAGTAGAAAGTCATCTAGATAGTGAATAACGGAGTGACACCTGATGACATTCAGAAGCAGCCAGCATAGTGACTCAGCGAAAATGTCGAAAAGTTTGGGGCTGCTTCGGGAACCAAAAGTGAGTCGTGTTGAGAAGTAATAATACCCTCGCCATTTAACACCGTGTAAGTGCCAGAGTGAGGGGTGTATGGGCAGTAATTTAAAGGCGTTAGTGATGTCTGTTTTGCTGAGCCAGGGTCGATTACCAGATGTCATGATAGACTGTATGGCGTCGTCGATGGTGACGTACTGCAGAGAGAATTCGTCTGCTGGAATGAGTGCGTTTATGCTTGGAACAAAAGAGGAGTGCGGTGCCGATAAATCGATAATGAGACGTTTTTTATTAGAATATTTGTGAATAGCAATACCAATAGGGTTAGTGCGCCAGGAGGAAAACGGTGAAGAGGTGAAAGGACCGATCATGAAACCGTTTGTGGTTTCTGCGGAAATGAGAGTGTCTACAGCGACTGGGTCTAAACGTGCAGACTGGAGATTAGGACATTCTAGTGTACCTGGGGGAATGGCTATTATGCCTGTGTGAAACCCTTGTGAGAAACCTGTGGTGAGAAAATCCACTAAGTGCCTGCTGGGGTGACACCTTAGATAAAAAACCAGGTTGTCGATTTAATGTCGGTTAGTCATTTGTTTGGTGACAACCTGGCTGGACACATGGTCTTGGTATGTGCCCTGAAACATATGGAGCAGATGTGCAATAATCTACAGGCGCTGAAACTGCAGGAGCCTGCGTTGAAATTATTGCACACCTGTGCTTTACCTAAAAAGGAGATGGGCCTACCCAGCTTATCCCGGAGACCACCCGCTGGCTTGTGAGGGGTGAAAGAGGAGTGAGGTGTGAACGTGGGGTGAGGGGTGAGAGTGGAGGTGGTGGGATCTGGTTCGACGGGACATAAGTCCGCCATGTGGGATGTGGAATTACAGATGGCACAAGCCGGGGGCCTGAGTCCGGCGAAGTGGCGACAGAAAAGTTCAGTGTCCATCTGACCCCAGTTCATTCTAATGTTGAACTGCTTGAGATGGGTCGCCGCCTTCGCTGAGACTGACTTGTGGTAGTCATAGAAGGAAGAGCCCCCGTACTTGATGCCTAGATCCACTACCTTGTGGAGATAGAGATCTAGCTCTTCTCTCCTATGGGGATACACCGTGCAAATGACGTCGCGGTATATCCCGAAAGCTATCACAAACTGTGGGATAGACAATTTTTTATTAAGCCTGGGATCCCTCGTTTTAAGCACAACAGAGATGTCACCATAATTGTATGCCTTGTTCTCGAGTACATCCTGAGAGGCTATGAGTAAAGACACCAGACACACATCCTTCCCGTCAAGGATATCTTTCCTGATAGAATCTGGGACGGAGTGTGCTGGTGACTCGAAAGGTGTGATGGCTGTGCCAGGTGCTGGAGGGGGGAGTATAGAGGGACATGAAGGTATGGCAGGTACAGCCGTGGTAGAGACTGGGACTACGGTGTTAGTACCTGAGGAGGAGATGGCGCTCTCCACCTTAGACAGCCTGCTATTGAGGGCCTGTAGATTGGCCAAGATATCTGCCAGGGTATCCTGGGTGGCCGTGCTGTTACTTGGTGGTTGTCCTTGAGAGCTAGTTCCCGGCCGAGGCTCGGGGACTTGGTGGGTAAGCAGCCTGTAAAGTTCTGCCTTTCTAGCTGTGGCCGGAAAGGGGATTCCCCTGAGCCTAAGCTCGGCTGTGATTTTGGGAATAGTCCATGCTCTCAAGGACGTGGGGGTTGAAAGAGTGAGTGATTCGCCTGGAGACACGGGTCTGATTGGCGTGAATGGTGCTTCTTCTGTCAGTTCTTCGGTTGGAATTGGTTCTTGGGACATTCTAAAAAGGAATGATTATGTGAAAGATATATTAGAAGGGGAGTGAGGTAAGAAGGGGGGGGGGTATGGGGAGTGGTGTGTCTTGAAGAACTGGACTTTAATGCTAGATGCCGAGGCGAAAAACTTAACTATTGAATGACTGGATAGGTGAGGCCCTGCTAATGCCAAGTGGCGATGAGAGGCTCTACCTATGATTTGGCTTATGACGTAGGTGCCACAGACGTGGTGGTGGGATGTTGGCCTCTCGGTGACGATAAGAGAAATCAAAACGTGTGGCCGTGACAGGTGAGGCCCTAACTAGAGCCCTGTAGTAAGGCATGCGAGGCTTATAACTATGATTTGGGCGTGGGGCCGTACCTCCGTGTTGAGGTGGGGTGGGGGTGGTAGGCCTCGCGGGATCAGATTTCCTGATAGGGTGGGCTAAGGCATTAGCCTGTGCCGTATAGCCAGTTCGATAGTATGCTAAAGTGTAAAGTTAGAGGACTGGAATGGTGTGTGGATACTAACCTTGACTGGTCGCAAATGGTATCTGGAGCCTCCTGGTAAGTGTAGAGAGTCTTGTCTTAAATGTTGTCTTTGAGGAAGAATCCTGGGGGTTTAAGACAGATGTTGATGTGTTTATACGTATCGTGATGTCGTATGAATAGTATAGGGAGAAGGTTTGATTAGGGGCACGACGTGAGATCCTGCATTGAGGGATCTGGGAGGTTTAGGTGTAGGAATGGGATGATTTTGGATATGAGTGAGAAGGCAGAATGAGGCCTTGGGGTAGCGAATGGACGTACTTGAGTAAGGATGTAAGTACCTGAAGGTATGGCTGAGTACCGTGTCAGATTTTTGGTGTCTTCTTGAGCCTGGTGGCCGTATGACCGAAAGTCTGTGTAGACAAGTAGTAAAGAGATAACGTATCCTGGGCGTAAGCCTGAGGGAAGGTAGCAATGGAGTTGAGACCGCGTGAGGTCTAGTATTGAAAAGAGAGTGAACTATACCTTTGTTTAAAGTACAGAGATTGTTTAATCGTGGCAGGTTAACTGCGTAGAAACGGTGGAATCTTAGATTAGTACAAGGATCTAAGGGTTTAACCAAGAAATATACCATAGTTAGCAATAGATGTGAAGATAATTGATAAAACCTGATAACTCAAGGTGATAAAACCATACCTGTTCCTGTAATAAAAGGACCTTGAAATAACAACTTTAATGCAGAAAAGCAAGAGACCGATGCAATCTGTAAAAGCCAAAAGATGTGGCAGCGTGATTTATGTGCAAGGAATAGTACGGATTATGTGTAAAGGGTATAACTTGTAAATAGTGTTTAAAAAGACTTATCTGAGTGTTATTAGGAAAGAATGTTATAGCTTGAATTTAGACACGTATGAAGTTATGAACCGTGGTGAAACATTATGTTTATAACAGAAAAATACTTTAAATGGTTTAACAAGGTAGAAAAACACAGGGCTGGTAGTTAACCATATAATGTAACCGCAAACTCATATAAAGGAATAAATAATAGTAGGACTGTGATTAGAACTTATGCCAGCTTATCTTAAAAGAATAGAAATAACCGAATGTAAATTAGTAAGATAGTGTACGTGAATTAACCATACGAATAGGTTGGTGCTGAAATAACCGAACGGAAAAGTGAATATAGATAATAATGAGCTTAAACATGAAATATTTATTCGGTTGTTTCCGTACGAAAAAACATAAAATGATAGCGAAATGAGCCGAACGTTCGTGCGTTTTTTGGCGCGAATGGAGATATAAACGAAAGCGTGTATTCGTGAAAATGCGAAAGAGGGAGCCTACCCCTACGTTTTTAGGCCCGAACGGCGGGGAAATAGCGAACGCTAATTCCCACGCCTTGCTTACGTGAACGCGCCGGTCTCGTGACCGGAAGTCGGGTACCTCGACCGGAGGGAAACGGAGTGGAAGGACCTCGGACGGACGGAGGATCGCACAGGGCGTCTGGCTGCTGGAAACAGGTACAGTTCTGGCGGGAAGCTGGACCGGAAGTGCTGGTTGCTAAGGACAATCAGCTGAGCGGCAGCGGTGAGTAGGGGCTGGGAGCTTAAGTAGGGTACTTACTCCTCCCACAAATTCAGGCCTAATGGCCTTTCTACATATATACAAACATACATACATACACACTCGTGATACTCGAAAAATTAGAATATCGTGCAAAAGTTCATTTATTTCAGTAATGCAACGTAAAAGGGGAAATAATAAGCCATAATGAATCTATGGGGCATTACCAAGAGAAAGATGAGACATCAGACCGAACAATGCAGAAGAGCTGAAGGCCGCTATTGAAGCATCCTGGTCTTCCATAACACCTCAGCAGTGCCAGAGGCTGATAGCTGCCATGCCACGTCGCATTGAGGCAGTAATTGCTGCAAAAGGAGCCCAAACAAAGTCCATATGCATGCTTATACTTTTCAGAGGTCCGTTATTGTTCTATGTACACTCCTTGTTTTATTGATTGCATGTAATATTCTAATTTACTGAGATTGTGGATTTGGGGTTTTCATAAACTGTAAACCATAATCATCGCACTTATGACAAATCACGGCTTGAACTATCTTGCTTTGCATGTAATGCGTCTATCTCATATATTAGTTTCCACTTTTACTTTGCATTATTGAAATAAATGAACTTTTGCACAATATTCTAATTTTTTGAGTATCGTGTGTGTGTATATATATATATATATATATATATATATATATATATATATATATATATATATATATATATAGAGAGAGAGAGAGAGAGAGAGAGAGAGATTGGATTAGCCGTATTAGTCCAGCAGACAAGATGCCAAAATACCAGAGGAGGCAATAATACCTTTTTTTATTGGACTAACTTAATATTTCAAAGACAAACTTTCAAGAGTTTCCTCTCTTCCTCAGGTCTGAAGCAATACTGATCAATCTGAAAGAGTCTAACACTTAAAACAACTGATATTAGAGAAAGGGAAGGAGGGAGGGGTGAGTGGGGTGTCATAAATAGCAAAAGATGTGTCTGAAAGTGAAATGTTCAGGTTGGTTGAGAATAGCCAGAAAAGTAAAACAGAGGAGAGTCAATAAGCTAGTCTAAAAAAAAAACCAAAAAAAAAAAAAAACCGGCAGAACAGGGCAAGCAAGTATATAGCTGCATATATGTATGTATAAAAATTGATCCAATAAAGGTGAAACGAGAATATTGAAAAAGAACTATTTAAGACTTTTAGATGTGTGTTTATAAAAAGTTTTGGTAGTGTGTGAGAAAGCCAGAGTCTACATTAAAACCCCTTAAGGACACATGACTGAAATATTCCGTCATGATTCCCTTTTATTTCTGAAGTTGTGTCCTTAAGGGGTTAAGTCTTTCATTTCTGGGGTTGAAATGTGTGAACATTTTCATCTCAAATGTCTTTCGTTCATGAGAGTCCTTGAAATTCCCTTTAAGAACTTTAATCCTGAGGTTTTTGATGGAGTGACCAGTCTGGGTGAAGTGATGACCAACAGGGGTACAATATCCGTTTTTCTTGTGGTTCTTGATTGTCTGTCTGTGTAGGTTCATTCTGAGATGCAGCTTAAGGCCAGTTTCTCCAATGTAGCAACCTTTGTCACACACTCTACCATGTACACCACATTCACAGATGTTTACGAATATAATCCCTTAACCCCTTCAGGACCGAGGACGGTTCAGGACCGCCATCGGCATTTTTGCGTTGCCGACCGGTGACGGTCCTGAACCGTCCTAACGGTGCAATGTACTTACCCGATCGCCGTAGTTCCCACGGCAGCAATCGGCGTTGCTCCTGGTGTGGGGAGACTGCCTGCAGCCCAAACAGTCTCCCCATGGCGGATTAGGACCCCTGGGGCCAATAGGTGTCCAAGTGTCTGCCTTCAGGGGGACTGTCTGTGCTCACAGACAGTCTCCCTGCAACTGTAAAATCATAAAAAAAATAAAAGTAAATAAAAAATTATTTGTATATATATATATATATATATATATATATATATATATATATATATATATATATATATATATATACACACACACACACACACACACACACACACACCCCGGGTTGTCTACTTTAAAAAAAATATGTACATGTGGGGTGTTATTCAGAGATTTATGACAGATAATAGTGTTACAATGTCACTATTGATAAATTTTAAAAATGTATGTTTTGAAACCGCAATATCCTACTTGTACCTTGTATAGCCCTATAACTTGCAAAAAAGCATGTAAACACTGGGTATTTTTAAACTCAGGACAAAATTTTGAATCTATTTAGCAGTTTTTTTTATTTGCTTTTGTAGATTAGTAAAAGATTTTTCAAGTAAAAGTCAAAAAACATGTATTTTTTTTTAAATTTTTCATCATATTTTTTTTTAAATTACACGAGATTATATAAATAATGGTATGTAAAGAAAGTAAAAGAGAGCGGAAAATTACAGCTAAACACAAACACCACAAAAGTGTAAAAAGAGGCCTGGTCGCAAATGTACAACATAGCAAAAACAGTCCGGTCCTTAACCCATTAAGGACACAACTTCTGGAATAAAAGGGAATCATGACGGAATATTTCCGTCATGTGTCCTTAAAGGACCACTATAGTGCCAGGAAAACATACTCGTTTTCCTGGCACTATAGTGCCCTGAGGGTGCCCCCACCCTCAGGGACCCCCTCCCGCCCGGCTCTGGAAAGGGGAAAAGGGGTAAAACTTACCTTTTCCAGCGCTGGGGGGGAGCTCCTCCCTCCTCTTCTCCGCCTCCGTCCGGGGAATGCACGCGCTGCGCTGAGCTGCGCCGATTCAGCCGTCGCATAGGAAAGCATTTACAATGCTTTCCTATAGACGCCATGCTCTCACTGTGAAAATCACAGTGAGAAGACGCAAGCGCCTCTAGTGGCTGTCAATGAGACAGCCACTAGAGGATTAGGGGGAAGGCTTAACCCATTCATAATTATAGCAGTTTCTCTGAAACTGCTATAATTATGAAAAAATGGGTTAACCCTAGCTGGACCTGGCACCCAGACCACTTCATTAAGCTGAAGTGGTCTGAGTGCCTAGAGTGGTCCTTTAAGGTGTTAAATGCTAGTATAGGAGGTTCAGGAAATATTTTTTTGAGCGTGGGGTCCTCTGAAATGAATGGTTGTAGCGCTTTAATAATTTTACGTACTTCAAGAGTTAAGTTGTATGTAACTACTAGAGGGACTCTTGTTTTGTTTTCCTTTTCTTTGTATTGTAGGAGCCTGTCCCGTGGTGGTTTTAAGGCAGACTTTTTAAAAATTTTATTTAGATATTGTCTTTTCCTTGTAGCCCTTTTGCCTAAATGACTCCGGCTGTAGATAATACCTTTTTTTATTGTGATGGAAGCTGGAATTGTGGAGGTAGCTGTACCTGTCTGTGGGTTTTCTATATATAGACGAATGAAGAATGCCATTGGTGACCGTTCTTGTGCAGTTCAAGAAACTCACATTGATTTGAAAAGTTGATTTTAAGGTTTATTGATGGGTGGAATGAATTAGATGATTTATGGACGTCTATAAGGCTTTCTTCTCCTTCTGTCCATATTATGAAAATATCATTGATGTAACACGAATATGTATATGGTTTGTGGGGCTGTGTACATAAAAAGCTGTTTTCTAGGTCAGCCATAAAAAGATGAGCATATTGGGGTGACATTTTTGTGCCCATCGCTGTCCCTGTCATTTGTAGGAAGTTATTAAAACTGAAATAGTTGTGTGTGAGTATGAATTCTATAAGCTGGGTGATTATTGCGCTATCATATTTGTGTGTTGGTTTGTGGGACGATAGAAATTTAATGCAGGCCTCAATACCATCCTTATGTGGGATGTTACTGTATAAGTATTCCACATCCATTGTTCCTAGTATAGTGTTTTCTGGTAGTTCATTTATCTGGTTAATTTTATTGAGGAAGTCTGTAGTGTCCTGTATAAAGCGCTCAGTCTCAATAACTAGAGGCTTAAGTATGTTTTCTATTAGGCCAGATATCTGTTTAGTGAGTGTTCCCATACCGGTTATAATGGGGGCCGTCATGGGTTTCCTGGCTTGTGGATTTTGGGCAGCATGTAGAAGGTTCCCATCTTAGTGTTAACATTTGTGTGTAAAAAATGCAAAAAAACTAATCTGAATGCCAATTTTGGCCACTGTTTGTGACTAAGTGGCTACTAAAAAAGACTGGACATAGCTAAATAGGGAGCCATCTACTAACTAAACAGTCGTAAGATCAAAATTGAAAGAGCACATTTATTTTAAACTATGTTACACTTGCCACACATGATGGCATAACAAGGCAGCCATGACACATATGTTTAATACACCCCCCCCCCCCCTCCGGACTCTGTGACAGAGCTCCACTAATGTCCTAGACAAGGAAGGCGTTGCAAGCTATACCTCACACTTAAGATTTCACATACATGCCAAACTGACAATAGGTCTGCAACTGTCAGATGTGCAATACATCGTAACCCACTACATCAGCCCCTGACCGCACACGAGTACTACTAGGATGCATATGAGTCAGTCTCACATAATAAGCATACTACTTACCTGATTCAACATATCGAGCTTGTCGTTAAGACAACCACGATACGGATTGCTCAAAATTGTCAAAACTACTGTTACCCTACGGTTTAATAAGCATTTATAAAGAATTATAAAAAATGAGATAGAGGAAATTTACTGCTGCCTATTCAGTGATACCGGTATCATACACGTATGTTATACCAGCTTCTGCCTCTACGTAAACTACTTTAAACTAGCCATGCATGTTAATATCATACGTCTTATTTTACTAAAGATATCAATGTCTCTGTTAAGGGTGCCCGTTCAACTTAAGACAAGAATACTGGTTCCATTGTTACTTTAATTTTCCTATCTGACGCCTACATCTCAACCTCAACCAGATTTTATGACAATTGACCTCTAGCTGTACCAGATTACTTTTTTCTGTACTAGCATACATTTAAGCCTGTACTCAAAAACGAAAAATGTGTAATTATCTATGCCACTGTTGAGCCTGTTTATATACACGTGTACGCTGTTGTGGCGTTTGTCACTGTTTTTGTACTCACCTGCGCAACAAAAATAAAGAATTATAAAAAAAATAAAAATAAAAAATAAATTGAAAGAGCTTTTTAAAATTTTGATCATTTGGCTTTTAGTAGATTGCTACTTAACTTTATGTCCATAAATATGGCAAGCCCACATACGAATAGCAAATTAGGTAGCAATCTACTAGTAAATTTTTTTTTTAGCTTTAATATAGACCAGGGGTAGGTAACCTTTGACACTCCAGATGTTGTAGACTACATTTCCCCTGATGGAGAAAAGTTGTCCACTTCGATATAGATGAAGGTAGCCCTCCAAACAGTTACAGATAGGGCATTTGGCCCTCGTGGAGAAAGATTGCTGACCCCCCTCCTCCCCCAATATAAGATATGACTGTATGCTATATTAACAAATGTTAAGGCAAAATATGTCATTTCTTATCAGTACATATTTCTAAAATCCCACACAAAACACAGCAAATATGGTAAGTCATATAAATATCTAATAAATGTTTACCAGCTATTAAGATGGTTTTATATTCCCCTATTAATCTGGATTACTATAATATCCCACCTGTGTAGTGTACTCAAAGAATGCATTTATATATGTGCACATCTAAACAGGTCAAGTATCTTTTTCCCTAAAAAGAAAAAAAGAAAACAGTGCATTTGGCAGAAGATATTTATTCAGCAAAAACATTTTAATATTGTCATTTATATTTCCCTTAGTGAAATAATGATTATTGAATATAACTTAGAAATTCACAAAAATGTGTAAAATAAATAAAAATAACCATCCTTCTTTATACATATGTTTATCACATACTACAGGATATTTGTATTAAGCAACATACTATTAAAGACAGACAAATAATATTGTTATTCAATCTATTATGTGGGGAGTTGACTTACCCTTGATATGGGTATATTTTGTGCCAAAACAGTCCACATAGAGAAAGAAGGTGAGAGGGATGTTTAAGGCATTACATGTACAATTACTGTTCATTGCAATATCATGGGCAGCGTCTGAGATCTACATGGGGTCTTGTAGTTCCTAGAAATAATGACACCTATGTCCAAAGTGCATGCCATTTCGATACAGGTCTGGAGTACAGATTTTCAGAGATAGGCCAGTGGAATTTAGATCTTTGTTTTTAAACAACAGTGTAAAATATATATAGGTAGATCAGGGCACATTTCTCGCAAACTTGTGAACCGCAAGAACATATGTGCCAGTTGTACATTTTGACATGTAAAGTAAACATATTCCTCTTGTAATCTTCTCTCTGCTATTCCTGGTATGCGGGTTGCAACCACTTACTCTCAGCTACTAGTGAAAAAGAGTAGTGAACTTAATCTGAGGCAGGGATTTTCCAGAGGAGATTAAATCTAGCCCCCATAGAATTAATTAATAAAAATAAAACTGATCATTTGTGAAGTTGCTTCATTTGCTACAACTTCCCATTTTTTCCAAGGTCTCATCACACCAGGTAGGTGTCCCAGCCAATCTTAATGAACTTTACCAACACCTGTTGAAGTTACTCAATAAACAGGGATTTATGGACATTTCAAAACTTTGTGAGCTGTACATAGTTACATAGCAGAAAGGAGACATGAGTCCAAGTTCAGCCACTCACATTTGTTTTTGCAGTTTATTCTGGTTTTCCAAAAAAATTCAAAAAAAAAAAAAAAAAGCAGCCAGACCTTTAAAAATGTGTATAGTATTTGATAAAATACCTTATTTCGACAGAGTATTACATACTTTTATTGTTCTTGCTGTAAATAACTGTTGGCTCTCCAGTTGTTGAAATCTCCTTTCTTCAAAGCTAAATGGGTGATCTATTGCCCTTTGTACAGTCCTATTAATGAATAGATGTTACCAGAAAAAGAGAGAGAGAGATGTTACCCTATGTATATATTTGTAAAATATCAAATGTTTATTTTTGCGGTAAGTTTAAGTTTTATAGGTTTTCTTCATATCTAAAATATTTCATTCCCCTTATTACTTTGTAGCCCACCCCTGCACATTTTCTATGGTCATATTTCCACTGAATATTTAAGGTATGTTCTTACCATTGTTTTATAGAGGCAAAATTAATTGTTACCATGTGAATGCATGCCCCTTTATGCATAGCAATACCTTACTGTCCTTTACAGTTAATAACTGACATTGTTACCTAATGTAAAACCATTACAAGTCTTCACCATTGTATCGTTTTCCCCTTAGTGCCACTTACTGTGTACATTGCTTGTGTGTGATTTTCATCCCAAAATTGACACGACACATCCCAAAGTATCTATTTATCCAAACTACTCTGCAAAGAAGCAGCTCACTATAGTGGTTATAATGACACTCACCCCTAGGTAACGGAGGCCAAAGTTGAACAAAAATAATACTGCTAACGCATAAGTGGAGCTTGCTCTTTAGATCACAAAAAATCCAAGGACCACAGGTACCCAGGTAAAGGTAAAACTATTCAAAAATCAGTTTGACTTCTTACTGTGGGATGGCACCATAACCACTACATAGTCCCCCTCAAAGTAGTTTTTTTTTCTCCGTTCTTTTCAGGAAAGCAAAATATTTTCAATCACTCAGATTGCACTTTTATAGAAAACTTTATTCAAGACAACATTTTCCAGCAAAAAGGCAATATACAGGTAGAGATGTACAGTGCTGCTACAGGAAGAAGGAAACTCATAAAAGACCGAAATAATGTAAAATTAAGTTGAACGGCTGTAATCTATTAACTGCACTTAAACTATACAAAGCTGCTGCCTTTAAACAAATATTAAATTAAAGAGAAACAGAGGGACATGTGAAAAGGAAATAAAACTACACACCATGAATATCAACATCAGTGAAATACTTTTATAACCACCCAACAATATGAATCTGTGTGTTCATTTGTACATTTTCATTAAATATACATTTGTACTTTAGGTCTGTAGTTTTTGTACAAAGTTATCCTACTAAAGACAAGTGAGCATGCCCTCTGTTCTCAAAGGCTGTCAACAGCATTTTTTTTTTTTTTTGCCCCAATCATTAACAACTATATACACACAAATGTGCAGCATATATATATATATTCTGTCAACTTGAGTGTCTAACTTATTTGCACGTAAAACTCAGTATTTTGCTTCTGGGACAGTTTGCTAATAACTGGTTTAATAACAAAGAAGAAAGACACAGTATGAAGAGATTGTGCAATGGCATTAAACTTTTTTTTTTTCTTTCCAAAAAGGTGCCAACAATGTACACAACTTGAGATTGCCATTTACTGAAGTGATGTTTTTCAATTTTACAAATGCACAACTTTGTGATTTGAAGAAGAGGAAACCTGTTGTGAGAGTAAACATAAAACATTATTTGCTGCAATGATTGCAAAACATGTGGGTTGGCAGGCAGCCGGCAACCTTTATGCTTCATACAAAATCTTGAATGCACAAACTGTGGAAATTTGCTCTACTTCCTCCCTTACTTTCCAGGCTTGGCCCATGCTTTACCTTTATCACAAACCCCCTTTAAGTGACATTCAAGCTGTATAAAAACATGTTCATTTTCTTCAAACAGCAGTCAATAGATACAGAGAAGCCAAACGGAACAGCCTCAACAAAATAAAATTAACATCAGCAGCAAATCCTCTTGCTGTAGATATCAGATATAGTGCACTTGTACCAAAGTTTTAGCGTTGTTAAAAAGGTGCACACAGTTATTTGTCTCTTGCCTTGGATACTCTTGGTAAGTTGAGTCAGTTATGGATTTTAATTGCTTTCTCAAGGTAAGTGTAGCGACTTCTCTTTGGGGCTTTATTGAAGTGATCAAGGCCCAGCCAAGGCCTAGGGTGGGACATATTGCCTAGGGAGAAAATAAAAAAAGCAAACATTACATCAAGAGTGCTGAACTATTTACACAACAATTTAGAATACAAATAAATCAGTTATGTATTTAAAAGTACCATTGATAGTCAGATTTTGAACGTGGATCAACATGCTATTACCCACATATTGGCTATTATATCCTTGGACATTGTTACAAAAAATTGTAGAGTATGATAAAATAACCTTTGTAGGGAGAGAAATCCATGTTTTGTTCTTATTGTAAAGAAAATCTGTCCTCTGTTTTAGGTGAAATCTCCTCTATTCAAATCTTAACATGTTCAGTCAAACTTTAAACTAAAGAATGACATAATGAATAGTAGAGATTGCTCCAGACATTGACTATAACATTGTTAACAGTAAGGTTCTACAAGGTACAGTATCTCTCCAAGTGAAATAGTGAGATCTATTGTGGAATTATCTGCTATGCCTACCAGAAAGAAAGAGTATGCAGGAACAATCTGTAGCTTTCACCCATATATTAGACAGTGCATTTTAAGCATGTATACCAAATTGGTAGAACTACAACTCTATTCAAGATCTAAGACTTCCTTATATTATGAATGTACCAGAATGATTTAAGTTCTGAATATGATTACGTCCAGAAATTTATAGATCTGTATCAACCAGGCAGTATTTTTTTAATTTTTTTTTTTTTTTATAAAGTATGGTTTCACTTCCACCATGCTGTGTGGGGCACCCTAATCTCAGGGCAAACCCAGAACATGTACATCAGCGTCAAGTGATACAAGGATAAAAAACCAGCGGTTAATCCCACTAACAAAGAGTGCTTGATTTATGAATCATGTAACCATCAATCATCTGTTATTTTCATTACATGTTTTTATGGGGGTTTTTTTTTTTGAGTCATGAACAGGACTCAATCACAAAACAAGGGAACATGTCCAGCTTGTTTGTTCGCAATACATCTGTATGGTGCTCGGACAACTTTACAGTCACCCAAATTTCAGATAATTCCCAGTTCATCTGAAACCAGGTTCACAAGTCTAATGAGAACCAAGTTCAAAATTATCTATATATATATTTCATGTTTATATTATCTCTACATTCTTTGATGTGGGG